ATACAAATATGAGTTAACTTTTACGCAATCGAGAAGTTGAAAAACTCGCACTAAGTAGACAGGTTGTGGAATATTCAATCCCAACATATCCACGCATCCATTGTAAGCAAAGACCCACATCTATTAATTTCTCAGATCAATAGGTATGGGGCAATCCTGATTTCACACTGCTTTCTGATTTGGAAATTAATACTTTAAGCCAGTTCTTTACATTGCCGTGTCGCTCAACCTTGACAGGACTGTTCAATCAAACAGCTCGAGTTATCTTTTCAACATTTTCAAGTATAATTTATTTTAATGTGTACCTAACTTTTCGTTCAATGTTTTTCAGCGATTACCTTGCGGCATTAAGAGATACATCTTATCAGTTATTTCCAATGCTGTTGTCTGTGTCAACCCTATTATAATGGTAGCTATAGGTATTATTCTTCCGGCTATTGTTTTAGAATTACCCTTGATTAAAACGGCTGTCTGGAAGATATTACTTTTTCTAATGTGGGAGCCCCTTATACGAATTATATTTTTTTTGCCGCACTGCGCTTAGGTAACACGTGGGACTTTGGGACTACAGTCCATTAGAACTGCAGTTCCGTATCACTGCTGTCATACAGTAAAGTGCGCTTTATTTTGCGTGTGCATTTTATTTTCTTTAGCAGCGAATAATTGATTTTTTTCAAGTCTTAATGGTTGGCCCTGCTGCAAAGCATGTTGTCAAACTGCAGTCCCGTGTATCCACTTAAATTGACATTCGCAATTTTTAGTTTGTCCTCTGTATGAGAGTCTACTGCTACAATCCAGTTCAATCCAGACACCAGAATCTTGCAAAGTTATAATACACGAGGCTGCATGGCCTCACCCCATCAGGTTGCCCTGTGATCTTCACCGGGTGGAGGCCGACTCATACAAATAAAGAAGCTGGACCAAAGGCCTACTCCGCCCCCGGCATGGTGACGATGGATCATTGCGGAGAAGGATGAACTCTTCCTCTTTGGTTCCGCCACTTCATTCTGCGAGATGGTGGACTCGGAGAAATCTAGCATCGTTATTTAGATTCGTTGCTGCCGTGTATCGTAGCCATGATGGTCGGCAACTTCAATTCGGGTCTTATTTGCGCGATTCACTGTCGGCTTCCTCTGGGCAATGTGGTGCAGGTACCGGCCGAAACACCCATAGCCAGTCAGTACCGGCATTAACCGGAAGGTGAAACATCCTCGGTCACAGTTCATCACGGTGCGAGGAATGGGCGCACCGCCTCGATGGTCCGTAGACCGTAAGAGCAAATTACACCAACCTTTTGACTTACTTTCAAAGCTAATTATGTTTTGGTTTGCAATAAACTCTATTTTTTTTATTACATGAGTGGATGTGCCCCTGCAAGTGGCAAAAATGGCCCTCTATTTTTGCGTTTACGGAAGCCTTTATAAAGAGAATGTTACCTCAACCTTAAAATATAAAATGGTTTTTCTTACAACAAATGAGACTTCAATATTCGCGTTATGATGCCCACGGGCATCTATTTCATAAGCTAACTATTTCAGTTGGTTTAGCGTTGAACCTGTTTATCTATCTAGAGCAACAAAAAGTAATGGATCACGGAGAGCATTTTGACATCCCTTTCAAATTTAGTCAAAAAGTGTTTATACCCGCCCTGTATATCGCATACAACAAAGGTTGAACTAACTGAATGGATAATNAATATTCGCGTTATGATGCCCACGGGCATCTATTTCATAAGCTAACTATTTCAGTTGGTTTAGCGTTGAACCTGTTTATCTATCTAGAGCAACAAAAAGTAATGGATCACGGAGAGCATTTTGACATCCCTTTCAAATTTAGTCAAAAAGTGTTTATACCCGCCCTGTATATCGCATACAACAAAGGTTGAACTAACTGTGAATGGATAATTGTTAGCATCCTATAATATCTAGTATTATAAATGCAGTTTTGCAGCAATTTTGTTTGCTTGCTATTTTTCGCCATACCATATCGACATTAGCAATGCCGGAAGCATAGCCAAACCGCTGCCTACTCCCGCTTTGTTTGATTGTCACGCTTCCGCGTCTTAACTATTCAAACTATGACCATGAAGGTTTGTATGCACGTTGTCAGGGGAACAAAAAAAAGACATAAGGTATTTTTCATATAGGATAAAACTACCATTCCAGAGGGAATCTTTTTTATATAATACATTTATGCCTTGTTAATGCGAATGGTTATGGGTGTATGTGATTGCTTGCTATACGACGCAGACGGAGTGCTACACTTTATTTTAGGTTTCGGCAAGCGTACGTAGAAAGTTTATTTTACATAGCACCGTCGAAGTACGGCCATTTTGTTTAAAATATTTACAAATTATATACAAAAACCTTCTTCATTTACTGCTTTTACTATTAGTGAAAACTATCAAAATCGGTTTCGTGATTTAAAAGAACAAAGCCGACACACAGATTTTTTTTGGTTAAGAGGAAATCGCCGGACTTTTCGACAGAGCAGCTTGCACGTCGTCTTCTTAGGCCCTCCTCGCCGGTCCCCAGACCGAAATGTGAGGGGGACCCGAAATACTTGGCGGGCCAGGGCTTGAGCGAGATCCGCCTCCCTGGCCTCCGGTCGATGGTGGCGGGCTTGTGCGTCTTACACGCGCCCCACTATTCTGCGAGATGGTGCACTCGCAGAAGTCGAGCATCGCCTTTCACGACTCGTCGCCGCCGAGCATCGATGCCACAACACTCGGTAATGACAAGTCGTTTCCTATTTTGCGACGAGGTCACGGCACCACCCCTCCCGTGCGGGGCAACGACGATCGTGTGCTCCGCCGTGTCCAAGTCGCAACCACAATGGTGACACTCTACCGTCGGCTCGGCTCTGATCCGGTGCAGGAACTCACCGAAGCAATCATCCCCAGTGAGCACCTGCGTGAGCCGGAAAGTTAGGCATCCTCTGTCACGATTCACCCAATACAGAAGGACCGGGCGAAATCGCCTAAGCCGACATACATAACAACATAGAGATAACAAAAATTTTTTTAATAGGTAGGTACTATTAGGAGATTGTACACAACATTCTATGCTATAGGTAATAGTCATATTAAAAAGAAAATCTAAATGAAATGTACATCGACTTTCGTGAACGGCACTGCAGCAAACTACTGATAAAAAAACCACATGAGGGTAAACATGGTAACCATAAAAATTATTATCACTCTCAAGAAAAAATGATGTTTGTGAAATTAATTTGGTATCTGGTTACTGATTGTATTTGTTACTTGTTCTTAACATTTTGTTTAATGCTTCTAGATCTTTTGTAAGTACATACTTCCAAGAACTATTTTTGCTTAATATCATACGAAAATAGTTTTTTTTTAAATATGTGAATGTGTAGACTGTGCTAAATGTGGCACCTTTGATATTCTATTATACATTACGCATTTGGTCTGCACAATCGTTTCATAGTCAGGTGAAAATAGGAAATGCAATTTTTTCGTGTAAAGGTAACATGCTATATCGGCAATCGGGTACACTGGTTCTCGTTTAATTTACCTTATGATTTCAATACAATTGTAACGATTGACCACTCAACACTATATGTTCCTGATATTGCTAATGTCCACGAGTGACGGTACGTGACTGTAGATAGGTCATACGCGCGTCTACTTTAGAAGACAAAAAAAAAGTTCACGAGGAGGCAACAGCCTTTATGCAAAACAATTTAGACTTCAATCTGAAATTTTATAGTGAACTGGCGACCCGCCCTCGCTTCGCTTCCGAAACATTAAATTTTATTATTGATGATAGCTTAGTCCGGACACAGCTAACATCGTATAATATGTATTATAATATAATATGTATCATACGTATAATATGTTACCTGCGATTATTGTCGTACCGCGGGTGAAGCCGCGGGGCGAAGCTAGTCTAAAAAAAGTAGCCTAAGTTACTCCTTATATCATCAGCTACCTATCAGAGAGTCTCCTCAGAATCGGTCCAGCCGTTCCATAGCCGGAACGAACAGACGACAGCCAGAGAAAAAATGTAAAAAATCTTATTTTGTTGTATGTGCCGTATATGTATTAATATGGATGTAGTAAAAAGCGGTTATTTCAATATTACAAACAGACACTCCAATTTTATTTATATGTATAGATAGTTCAATAATATTGTAACGTATTCGGACTTTGGTAGTCACTTAGCATCAAGTGGGTTGTGAGCTCGTTAATCTAATGAGCACAATAAATATACATAAACCTCATTTAAAGGAAATTAAAAGATCCCGTTACCGAGAAATATCACAATGCGTTTTAGTACTTTAGCTATGAAATCAATTAGCCAAGTTTTAGTTGTTATCTTCTAAGTATAGATTAATTTAGTACATTTATATAATTTTTAATCTGTGAGTTTATCTTAGTGCATCTAATTCACCTCAACTAGGTGATCTAATTTTACAATGGTCTCCGGACAGTTTTTCTAACGAAAGATACCTGATAATTAGGATCTGATAATAAAGTTTGTCTGTGGGTTTTTATCCAAAGAATTTCCACTCTTATTTATAACTTACCATTGCTTATATAGATAAAATACGGCAACGTAAAATAATTATAAATTCATTTGATTTGCTCCCGTCATTTGTGCACTTAAAATGATTATTTACGTTAATAAAAGGTTTTAGATACATAATATCGGTGTGCTGCACCACTAAAACATCTTACGAGCTGGACTTCATAATAGTGTTCATTATTTCTGTTGTAATTAGGCAAATTAAATGATAGTGCGGTGCCCGGCGGGCTGAGCGCACGAGGCGGGCCCGCGCTACCTCATTGGCCGCATCCGTGTACGCCCTACAACGAAGTAGCTGCCCCTCCCGTTTTCTTCACTGTTTCGTTCACTCGTATCACCAGGTTTGATCAGTTGCGATAACTACGTCGTCCGTAGCGTGTCTCGTGATCGGAGCGGTGGTGTTGTTTGTGACAGCGAGTGTGTGTGCAATGCTCGGACGGTGATCGAAGCATGGTGAATTACGTCAATCCGCTCGCCATGTACCAAGGCAAGGGCGGGCAATACGGCGGTGGCTGGTACGGCTGGCAGCATCAGAACTTGGAAGAGCAACAGTGGTGCGCATGGAACGGCGCACCGGCTACGGGGGAATGGACTCCGGATCCGCATCATTTTCCGAAAAGGGAACCAGGAGAACGAGAGATAGCCGATATGCCGTCGCCGGCCAGGGGGGATTTGGCGAGTCCAGGAGAAGGTTCTCCAGGCTCAGGATCTCGGCCTTCACAACCACCGGGTCCGCCGCGGTCGCCATACGAGTGGATGAAAAAACCAAACTATCAGACCCAACCAAATCCAGGTTTTTATTGAATTTTTACTCTACCCGCTTCCCTGTTGCCCTGCGTTTTCTCTATTTATTACATCTTTAGAAACATGAAATTTATTAGGCAACTAGTTTGGTCATAGGAAAAGGTTAGGGTATGAACTTTGATATTAAACTGGTATTTGATAAAATGTTTGGAAATTCATTCTTTAATATTCGAAAATACTCAAGTGAACTAGTCCAGAAATTGACATAAGTTCAAGTGTTGACATGAAAGGCTGAAAATGTTTATTTTCATAGAATTTGCAGTGTTGGTAATTTATAATTAATATGAGGGTACAAAAGAAGCTTCGTGTAAATGAGGGTAAAATTATAAAACTGAGTTTCTCAACCATGTAATTTTGTGTTGCACAGTTTGTTTTGTTTTAAATTGTTAATTATTTAAAATATTAGACTACAATTTTAAATCTAAGTCCTATTTACGGAAGTACGTATCTAAAACCAATTCGTCTTTGCATTAACAAAAGATTCATAACAAAGGCCTCAATATCATTAATTATATTTTAGAATTTTATTGATAAAAACACAAGCTTTGTTCTCAATATAATACGAATAAAATATAAATCTGATTATTAAATCTTGTAAAATGATAATTCATTGCATAATTCGAAGAATATCGCAATAACATTATTTATTTTTAAACCCAAAAAGGATGGTTTAAAATTAAGTCATATCTTTTTTATATTACAAGTATTATAAAACAAAGGGCTTAAAAGGAGAACCTTGACCAATTAATTACTGATTTTTTATTTATTTTTCGCGATTTACTCGTTTTTGTTTATTTATTTATTTTGATGATAAATCAGTTGTTCTTAAGGTTTTTTTTACTAATATGCAATTTTTTTTTATTGCTTAGATGGGTGGACGAGCTCACAGCCCACCTGGTGTTAAGTGGTTACTGGAGCCCCTAGACATCCACAACGTAAATGCGCCACCCACCTTGAGATATAAGTTCTAAGGTCTCAAGTTAGTTACAACGGCTGCCCCACCCTTCAAACCGAAACGCATTACTGCTTCAAGGCAGAAATAGGCAGGGTGGTGGTACCCACCCGCGCGGACTCACAAGAGGTCCTACCACCAGTAACAATTATACTTATTTTCAATGTTTCATCGTGTTTTTTATCTCAATATAAAGCATAGTAAGCAGGATAATTTAAAGTTTTGATGTTGAAGACATTTCAAATGAAGTGTAATTGTGATCACTAACTACATCAGGTTTGCCTTGACCTCGCACACGCATCTTGTGCAATTTTTTTCTGAGATCTTCATTCGTCTTAGATATTTTCAAGAAAGGCTACTGGTAGCCTATAATACTTAAGCCAGCACGGGTAGCAGTCATGTACCTACTGCGGTTTTTATTGTGGGACAGCCGGCAGCCTCTAGACTATATATAAATGAAATTTATACCTACCCCATGTTTTTGAGCTGGTGTGCGGCATTTAGAATGTGTATGTTAGAATATATGTCCCGGTATCTAGTTAGTAGAACCAGGTGGCTCGAAAATCCATCGTTGCACTAAAAATATAATTTTCGACGGAAATTACCTTTCAGCAATTATTTATCAACTTAATGAGGTTACACATTCATTCATATTTCTGTTAGAAAATCCAACGAAATATTAGACAAAGCTACAGCAGTTTGCCACAAGCTCGAAATTAGTAAAAATTAAATATTGCTGATATTGAAAAAAACTATATTTAAATGCAATAACCAAGTATTGAGAAATACATTGTAATCTATACTAATATACAAATCTACAGTGATTTTTACGGATGTTCCATTCTAACTACTGAATCATGCATCCGATTGACTTGAAACTTGGTATCCATGTAGAAAATACATGTGCCTAATGGATAGGCTATATTTATATAGGCTAAATTTATATGAGTGTTGGACTCCCTACAATAGTTGCGGGGCCGTTAATGCTGAGAATCTTCGTGGGGGTGAGAAATAATAATGTTAATTTTAAATGCCCAGCGAAGCGGACGGGTACAGCTAGTTCTTTAAAAAAATCATTGTTCTCAATGTGTCGCTCATAACAACGTCATAACAACACACCCGCGGCATTTGCTTCGGTACGGTCGAAGTTTCGGTTGTATTCTAGAACGGCTCCGGGATCAATCCGGGATTGTTTCACGGTAGAAACAGGCAAAACAGTAGGACCAAATTTATCCGACTTACAACGCGCCCTAGACTATTAGTTCTAAAAATATAAATCAGGGAAGTAGTGGAAGCTACTAACATGACTATTATTACCATTTACTACAATAGTAACAATAAAAAACTTCCATTAGGCAATGGGAATTGATAGCATTCTCGCTGACCAGGTCCGCATAGCCGTAGTTCTAATTAATATTCAGGTAGATTATTTCTCAAAATCCTCTTGCTCATAAAAAGCCTGTCTTGGCTTGATTCTATTCGCCTCATAAAAGTTATAGTACAATTTACACGCAAGTACTTAATTTTACGTTGAACTAAAAATGTAAAAGTCTTGTACTATTGTTGAAATAAAACATTAAAATGAATCAATAAAGATGAGCCTATATTGTGTAAGGTTTAATTGGGTTTTAGCCGTGATAAAAATCTTAAAATATCATCTATTTGGTATCAAAACCAGCTAGATACGAACAGTACTACTATGGAGGTTTTACAATAAAAAATTTTAGTTATAAAATGCGAATACAAACTTTTATCTCGACCTAATATATACCTATGTTGTTGGGCACAGGTCGCTCCCCACAACCGGAGCAGATGCAGGTCATGCTCCACGACAAAAATTTTCCATGTAAGTTAATAACATATTCTAAAACGAATTTTTAAAAATAGTTTGAAAACTATCAAATTTGTATAAACCGAAATGAATTCATGATGTAATATTGTTTCAATAATAGTAAAAAAGTTTTAATTAATTTAATTTATCTTCTAGACTAGTGGTAGGTATTATGTGGTTAAAAAAACATATTTTTTTAAAACTTAAAAATGGGTTTTAAATCGGTGAACAATCTTAGAGCGTTTAGGCGTTGTGTTTTTTTAATTTATCAATATTATTGAAACTTCAAATATTGGCACATTTATTAAATACCTATATTGCATTTTCTAGGTATATTACCATTTAAATCGATCCTAAGAATACAAATTCAGAAATCAATCAAATAAGTTACTAATTGAGTGGGTAGTAAATTCGTTAATTGTCATAAACACTGTATTTAATTCTTTTGTATAAAAATGTTATAGAGTGATTCACGCTTTTATTACTAAATATTGTGTTTACAATTCTGATCGCTTTTGTTATTCATAAACATTAAACGGAGGTATTTAGGTAAAGATTAACATGGCGGCTTCTGTTATGGTATAGTTACTAGCAATAAACTATCTCCAGTGATCATTTAAAACAATTGTTTGTTATAAAATCAAGTTTCAAAAAGCAAATGGACAACACAACAAACAAAAGTGCTTAAAAATTTTAACGTATAGAACAAGTCCGATATGGTAAAATTATATTTGAATCACGTGTACCTATAGATAGATAAAGAAAGTATTACCTATTAAGCTGCGGCTGTTGAAATAAAAAATGTGTGCGTGTACTAGTGTACACACGTAAGAAGTGAAACTTGTTTATGGCCTTATTTTTCGAAAAATGATCTACATGCAACTTTCTAGAAATTGGTTAAATAAAGTTAAATTAGATAAAGTTTAAACAAAAGGATTTTATTATCATAGACATGAATACAAAGAAGTTAAATTAGATAAAGTTTACACAAAAGGATTTTATTATCATAGACATGAATACAAAAAAGATGGCGCGTAACGGAAAAATGTGACGCGTAACCGAAAAATGTGACGGTAAATTTTTTTCCAACGCCGATAAAGAAGTTTCACTTCAAAAAGACGTAATAATTTAAAAAAATCTATAAATAAAAACACATCGGAAAATTTAAAAGTACAACCTGAATCCATTTCCATGTTAATGTGTAATTTTGGCTTAATTTGATTTGTAAAATTATGTAGATATTTGACGGTAATATCAAATTATATCGCCCGTCGGGCTGTGAAGACTGCTATTTTCATCGAACATAGATTCAATTGGTGACAATTTTAATATTTTTAAAATTGTCATTCTCTCGTTGAATTTTCAATGAAAAAATCATGTGAATATAAAAAATATATATTTTTCATTGGCTAGTTCTGTTTTTCATATTTAAGATGAAGTCCACATAATTTTCTTGGTTATAATTATGCGCCCATGGCGACTCTTTATCCTCGTTCGGGTACAAAGCAGCAAGCAAGCAAAAAGATGGGAACTAAAGATTTATATACGGTATTTAAATAAATTTGTTTATTATCCGTGCTCAGTTTGACGTAATATCTATGTAGATGTGATTGCGGAACAATCACTGAATTGTATCATAGTATCAAAAAAAAACGCGCAAAAGTCGCACCTTGTAGAAAATTAAAGCAGGAAAAGAGGTTATTATAATAGTGTCTTTTTATTATTTTTTATTGCTTAGATGGGTGGATGAGCTCACGAGTCACTTGGTGTTAAGTAGCCCATAGACATTTACAACGTAAATGCCCCCACGCACCTCGAGACGAGTTCTAAGGTCTCAGCTTTTACAGCACAACGGCTGCCCTACCCTTCAAACCGAAACGCATTAGTGTTTCACGGCAGGAATAGGCAGGACAGTGGTACCTACCCGTGCGGAGTCACAAGGCGTCCTACCACCAGTAAAATCTTAATCTATAAGAAAGCTGGATTAGAAACAACACTATTTGCTCTGAGGAATTGTTCGAGATGATACCAGCATCTCGTTTTTACCATCGCACCGCCCGCCACCGGAGTAGAGTTCATCCATACTACCTGGAGCCACTGCGGTCATCCACAGTGCGTTTCCAGAGATCTTTTTTGCCACGTACCATCCGGCTATGGAATGAGCTCCCCTCCACGTTGTTTCCCGAGCGCTATGACATGTCCTTCTTCAAACGAGACTTGTGGAGAGTATTAAGCGGTAGGCAGCGGCTTGGCTCTGCCCCTGGCATTGCTGAAGTCCATGGGCGACGGTAACCACTCACCATCAGGTGGGCCGTATGCCCGTCTGCCTACAAAGGCAATAAAAAAAATATAAAAAAACATTTGTAAACTAATGGCTTCCATTGAAATTTTATCGATATTTTTAAACTTAAATCTGTCTATATATATAAAAAAAAACTCAATTAATCTCGTCCTTACATGTATGCGTGAGTGGAATGACTTCTTGAACGAAAACCATAAAATTAATTGTTTTGCACGTGTCAATACGTGACTCGCGTTGATGTCTTTTAACAGCACACCAGCTGACTGTAACGATGACCTTCACTTCTGACTTACACCGTCCTATCGATTTAGGTAAGCTACCGTGAAGTAACCGGTCAGATTCATGTGATTCCGTTACAAAATATATACAAAAAGCAATAAAACAAACGCACGATGTCACACATGGAGTTTTATTATAAAAATTAATTACCCGCAATTAAAGCCCACGACAGCACCGTGACAAAATTTAATCAATTGATTTTGTGTTTTACGACTTCGCCAATATTGTCAACAGTCACGCAAATATAAGTGATATGACTACGTATAGATTTAGTAATATTTCGAATGTGTAAGTAAAATTTTTAGGATAGATTACTTACTATGTTTAATCTTTACTAAATATAACTATACTAATAAGTATAAGTTTAGTTTTAAAAAAAGGTTTGCATCTCTAAATAGGAATCTTATTAAACATAAAACAATTTAAAATGTTGTGATATCTCAAAAAATATCGATAATTATCTAGTACTGTACTAGTATGGTAATTACTTATTGTTACGGACCTTACAGAGAACTCTCTCTACCTACATATTTTACAAAATTTAGTTACATATAAGAAATAGTATGTAATTATTTAGTATTTTATTTTACTAAGTATTCTACATCACCATCATCAGCCTACCGATGCTGACTATATGCTCACATAGACCTCCCGACATGACAGACCATCTATTGCTCGTATATATTATTGTATTAAAATATGTCAAAATTTAATTGTACATAGATTGCTAAATTTTAACTTAATGTATAGGTATATCAATTTACCTACCTGACTGCATTTTAAGTCTAGTAGATTGTAAAAACTGTTACTGCCAAGCGAACCAAAATTTCCAACAAATACATGAGTTGGTGTTGGTGGCACACAAAATCCCACGTATTTTGGAATGCGTGGATTGTTGACAGTGTTTTTAAAATTCAAATGACTACGTGAACACACAATGTTCTGTTTACGCTGTGTATGCCTTTGTATTAATAATTGAGCATAAAATTAGATGCTATTTTGCGTTTGCTAGAAATGTTCAGTTAACGTGCACCCTGGGAACGAATGCACGGTGTACGCAATTAATTCCGTGATCGTCCGGGCGGGGTCCCGGAATGGTCCGGGGATGTTCCGCGCGACAATCACCGCAAACTGCCCTCGCGGGATCGCCCAGAACAAGTTAAATCTTCGCGAACTCAATCCTCTTGCAGTTATATTCAAACCGACTAAAAGTTTTATTGTCATAAAATTGTAGTTTTAAACTGCACTTTTAACTTTTTTAATTCTAATTCAGAAATTCAAATGCTTTGTCTGAAGATGTTCATTCAAAAAGAACATTCAATAATTAAGATATTTATAAAAAATTAATGAATTCTGAAACAAAAAAATCCTAAGCGTTTTGTTATGTTAAGAAAGGTATAGGTAACAAATACCTCAGTGATTTACGTTTAATAATATAATATATTATTTCGACTCTTAAAAAATCAGTATAAGTGTTTTTAATGTCCTAAAATCCTAATATTTCTTGCCTAATTAAATAGAATGTAATTAAAAATAATGTAAATGTACGCTAACCTTAAATGGTTCAAACCTATATATTGTCAAAATTCGCTAATTTTTATTAATAACAATCTACGTAAGAGACCTGCCTGATATATCTCAATTATCTCTTTGCACAAACCTAGCCCGTTTTGGAAAATCAATCTCTATTTGACTACATTCACCGATTCTCTCGCATCCCGCACCGCAGGAGATAGCTGTCGACATTTCACGCTCACTGAGATGAATCGTTTCGAATGTCGTCACAGTGTCAAACTGACAAAACAAAATGTGAATAGGGGCTTAGGAAAAATTAGGAGTGTTGAATGCTCTCACTTATTTATGCGGTAGTCGTTCTTTGGGGAGATGAAAAAACGTTACAAGCGAACAGCAGGGAGCTGTTTGTTTTTATCGTTTAAGGTCGAAACTAATCGATATTTTGGTAGCAAAGTTTTGTTCTGTTGATAATCGTGATGTCTTCACAGTAACTGCCAGATGACAATAGTGATGTGACTAAAGACCACACAACGATATAAATGAACTGTGTTGTTTATCATCAGTAATTAGGGGTATGGTTTAATTAAAATAATTTTATCAGTAGCAGTTTATAGGTATAGGTGGTTTGATGTCATTAAAGAATTGATTACGGAGTGAGATCCATGTATTGTATGTTTATAATATTTAAATCGTTTCCATGTTTTATAAATTGATTATTCTAATAGAAACTAATAGATAGTATAGTAATGAAATGGAGAAAATCCTTTATCTTTATCTAATAAAACAATGGGATGAGAATCATATTATTTTGACGAGTAAAACTTGAGATTAATCCCCGTATCTCAAAACTACCAATCTCTCAAATCTGATTCAAGGATCAATTTCATCTCGATTCTTGTCAAAACGCTTTCCTGAGTAC